GTCAGTTGTTATTCATTGGCCAGCACCTGGTAGAAGACTCTAGCAGGTGCGGGCCAATAGGAAACAGCTAGCTGTCACTGTTAGCTCCGCCCAATTGTTTTTTTCTTTTTAAAAAAATCTTTATTTAATTTTAGTATTTATTTACATTTTAAAAATATTGTTTTAACCTTTATTTTTCACTAGTTGCTATTCTGCTCGGTGCCACGGAGGTACCGAGCAGAATAGCCGAATGCCACTCGGCGGGATTCAGCTATTAACTCACTGCCGTTCAGCCTCTGTGTGAATAGGGGTGAACGGCAGCGAGTGAGCTGCTGGAGCTTTGGCTCAGCTGATCCAGATGTTGGATCGGCTAAGTCGAAGTCCTTCTGCACTTCGGCTCAGCCGATCATGCTCCACATGTTCGTGCAGCCGATGTCAAGCTGATTGTAGCCGATGTGCCCCTGAAATGAGCCGGAGTGAATAGCCGCACGTCGTTCGGCTCACTGCACTTCGGCTGTGTTATTCATTCGGCAGCTTTGTGAATAACCCCCCTTATTTTGTGAATGAAGCCTCCAGCCTGCATATGACCGTTGTCTCGTAGCTGACAGCAGGAGATGTCAACGCCCCCAACCTGGAAAACTATTATCAACTCAAAAACATAAACTTGAACGACATTGTTAGAATGGACAAGTGTTTAGTGTTTATTCCTCACCTGTGCTGATCTCTGGAGGGATTTCCTCCTCCTTACACAGATTATCACCCCTCACACACGACTCTTCTCCTTCCTCTTTCACTTTAGCGTGAATCAGATCTTCATTCTGATTGACAAACAATAAAAAGCTCATAAAAGCAAACTGTATTAACAAAGATAAAAGCGTCACGTCAACGCTCGGCCTACCTCCTACACACACTCGCCTTTCCTTTGTCTGTGACGGTTCTCATTCATCCAGGTCATGGTATATCTGTACAAAATAGATCAAAGCAACTGGACCTGCTGTATTTTTCATGAAGACGTTTCACTGGACATCCGACCAGCTTTCTCAATTTAAAATGGAGTAAGCTAGTCGGATGACCAGCGAAACATCGTCAAGAAAAACACAGCGAGTCCAGTTGCTTTGGTTTATTTTTTACAGACTCAATTTTGCTTTTCTCCTCATTGCTGCCAGGAGCCAAACAAATACAGATACTAGTGTTGGTGCCGATACCGAGTACTTGTGCTCGCCCAAATGCTCCGAAACTTAGCGGAACTTCCAGTCAGAAGGAGATCTCCCTCTGACTGGCAGTGCCGAGAGAGCATGGAGGCGGCTTCCTTTCCAATCAGGAAGCCGGGCGGTGGGTTATGACCCGCCTCCCAGCTTCCTGATTGGCCAGGAAGCCGGTTTCACTTGTTGCTAGGCAGTTGGCTTCATAACCAATCACGAAGCCAGGCAGCACATAATGACCCACCCCCAGGCTTCCTGATTGGTCAGGAAGCCAGGCTGCCTAGGAACAATCGTGATTACAAGAGACACTTTCTGTCTCGGTCCAAATTGTACACTGGGAGACCATCAGGTGGGGACCAAAATACCTTGTCGACTGGATTTTAATAAAGATATAGTGGATGAAGATACACAGTGTGTGGCCGTTTATAGACTGAGTTGCAGTGGGGTGTGGAGGGCTTCCTGTCTGGACTGAGTTGCAGTGGGGTGTGGAGGGCTTCCTGTCTGGACTGAGTTGCAGTGGGGTGTGGAGGGCTTCCTGTCTGGACTGAGTTGCAGTGGGGTGTGGAGGGCTCCCTGTCCGGCACCTGCGGTGAGCCTGGGATCTAATAGCAGAGGTGAGAGGCTCTGTTGGGTTTGGCTAACAATTATAAGTTCCTTTCAATAATATACATATAAAGGTCCTAGCTGGGTTTATTGAAATATAAATACACGGGTCCCAAAATGAAATTACTGAAAAGGGATGCATGAAAATGTAAGGCCGGCTTATGCTGCAGCTCCCTGATTTATAAAAACACTCAATAAAAGCAATAACAAAATAGAAGAAAAGCGTAAAAAATATCCAACCTTACTCCTATCTTCTGTCCACTTCCTGTAGAGTGAAGTCACTGAGTCATCTCGGGGGATCTTTGGATCATGACGATCTCAAATCCCATGAGAATGCCTTCAAGTGCAGTGCAAGAGGGTCGTCTTATGGGATTGGGTCTCCACAGCTTTCCCAGGACCCAGCAGTGAGGCCCAATGATATCACTCTACAGGAAGTATCCAGAAACAAGGTGTGAGTATTTTTACATTCGTCTTCAAAGGTTTCAAAGTAGAGTTCTTCCCCCCAAATGTATCATTACCAAGATCCCCAATTCTATCTACCTCATGCTCCCAAAGGATCTCCTTGTGTTCTTGAGGGATCTCCTGACCCTCCTGAGGGATCTCCTGATGTTCCTGTGTGGAATCCCGGGAATACAGAGGACGGGGACATCTTTCTGGGGGATTTCTATTCCAGGATCCATCTGTGAGAAATTTGTCACAATTGAGTGAAGATATAATATTCTGTAAGTCTATTTTTAAACTCTAAGAGAAGACATAATTGTTTGGGTTTTTTTGGTATCGAGTACCGATATTTTTTTTGGGCGGTACTCGCCGATACCGACATCGGAAGTCCCATAAAAGAACTCGGCGCCCGGCTTCCTGATTAACCGGTTCCATGCTCCCTCATCATCGGGTGACAAGGAAGCATGGAGCTTGCTTTCTAGCCGGCTTTCTGATTGGCCAGCTTCCCAACCAATCCGGAAGCTGGGCGATGGGTCATTACACGCCGCCCGGCTTCCCGATTGGCCGGGAAGCCTGCTCACTCGTCACTAGCAGATGAGGAAGTATGGAGTCGGCTTTCTGGCCAATCAGGAAGACAGGGGCGGGTAATGACTCGGCACCCGTCTTCTTGATCGGCCAGCTTCCCAACTAATCAGGCCAAGTGACGAGGGAACATGGAGTCGGCTTCCCAGGCCAATCATGAAGCCGGGTGGCGAGTCATTACCTGCCCCCGGCTTCCTGGTTCGCCGAGAAGCCAGCTCCATGCTCCCCGGTGACGAGGGAGCATAGAGCCGGTTTCCCGGCCAATCAGAAAGCCAGGCGGTGTGTAATGACTCCGGTATCGGGATAAGTATTGGGAGCATTTGGGGCGAGTACGAGTACTAGTGATGGTATCAGTGCATCCCTAGTTACAATAGACCTGAACTCAAAACGTGCAGATTTTCTGTGTTATGGGAACATCTACAAATATTAATTGTGCCAAAGCTGTACTCCTGAAAGAGCAGAGCACTTCCTGTGCGTAGGCACTTCCTGTTTTGTAGTCTCATAACTTTCTATCTGCAGTGTGAAATCATCTAAGGCTCTGCTGACTCTGACTGCTACTCTCACCAGATTTGGTGATGTCACTACTGTCCCGCTCAATGTTCTCCTTGCTGGGGAGCAGGATGAACTGCAGCGCAAGGATCTCCCTTCCTCTGCCTCATTCATTCTCCACCTCTCCTGTTCCCTTCTGATCACTTCCTCCATCAGTCATCAGGGGGGGGCAGGTCTAACATGGATGCAGACCTGCTTTTGTATCAAGAAAGTCATCTCCACAGGGACACACAGTGTCTGGGGAAAACATCAGTTACAAGGAGCCTACATGCAACGCCCATGACTGATCCTTTACCCTCTACATAACATTTTTTTTTTTGGTCACCGATGCTATTAGGCCTCTTTGATGATAATTAGTACTTTTTCTCTGCCAGGACAAATGTACAGGATCACCCAATAAAATATGTCCTCTGAACAAGGAGGATTTGTGAATATTTTCTAAATTTAGTTTTTATTACTCACCTGTGTTGATCTCTATAGGAACGTCCTCCTCTTTAATCCTGACATGTCCTTCTTCCTCCTCTTTAATCCTGGCATGTACTTCTTCCTCCTCTTTAATCCTGACATGTCCTTCTTCCTCCTCTTTAATCCTCACATGTCCCTCTTCCTCCTCCTCAGCTTTGATGTCCCTCTGAGTGTCTCCAGGTCCTGTGAATAAAGATGAGAGTGAAGCCCCCTGTACTGAGATGTATGAGAGACCCCAGAGAGTGTGTGTGGGGGGAGACTGGTTACGTCTCTTGGCTGGTAACACACAATGACATGATGTGAGGAGGAGAGCCGGAGAGTCTAATAGAGGCTGATGGCTCCTGACTCCCCCCACTATACACATTCCGTCCCCCCATTACTGTCTACTGACAGAGGAGGGGGGAGAAGAAGAGATTGTTGTAGTGACTGAACAAGGAGAATCTGGGACTGTTTTCTGGATTTAGTGTTTATTCCTCACCTGTGCTGATCTCTGGAGGGGCTTGCTCTTCATTACACGACCCGTCATGCTTCACATACGGCTCTTCTGCTTCTTCAATTTTAACGACAATCAGGCCTTCAAACTAGGCAGTACAGTAACCTTATTAACAATTTTGGCATTATGATTTTTGCTAAAGTATATCAGGTTTAATTGGAGCCCTCATTTACATTTACCTGATCATCCAGAGGGACCTCATGATGTTCCTGAGGGATCACCTGATGTTCCTGAGGGATCTCCTGAAGTTCCTGAGGGATCTCCTGATGTTCCTGTGTGGAATCCCGGGAATACAGAGGACGGGGACATCTCTCTGGAGTATTTATGTTCCTGGATCCATCTGTAGGAAACACACACACTGACTGAGTACATTGTTTCTATGTCTTTATATCAGAGGAAGTGTGTATCTAGGTCAGGGTTAAGCAACCTTGGCTCTTCAGCTGTGCTGAGACTACAAATCCCATAAGGCATTGCAAGCCACAGGCATGACTCCCAGAAGGATTTGTAATTTCAGCACAGCTGGAGAGCCAAGGTTGCCTACCCCTGATCTAGGTGGATCCTCAATACTCTTCTCTCCTTTATAAGAAATGAAAGTCTCCTCTTACCCGGTGATGTGATGGGAGGTTGGTTCTCCATCATGATGTCCTTGCACAGATATCAGTGTCCATCTGTAAGCTCCTACTGCTTGCTTTGTCTGTACCTGGAGATAAAAAGATGCTGGTGCTCACACTTCAATAATTTGATACAATTATATAATTACAAAACATATACAGTATATCCAATAGTCACACAGTCCATTCTGCTAGGTTGCATTAATATGCCCCTGCAGAGCTCACCATCTAATGTTCTACACATCAGAAGACTTGCAGGAAGATGATAATTTGTTGGGGTGACATGACCCCCCCATCCAGTCCACAGAGAGTGCTGGGGCCTCCTTCTCTGATTATTGGGCACACGCTCTCCAGCCTCACACCCCTTCAAGGAGGATTTTCACAGTCACACTGCTGTAAATCCGTAGCCTGCAGTGGACTACAACAAAATGGCTGCCGACCCTCCTGCATCAAGGACCAAATAGCAATGTATTGAATTCCATTTATATTCATTTCATTTTTTTTTTCCAGCCAGAAATAAAAGTATTCTGCTTTGTTAGTTGAAGTTGAAAATATAAAAACAAGCTACAAGCAAATAAAATTCTGCTTTCCTACAAATTCCAACTGCTGCTTATTCTGTGTGTGTGTGTATATATATATATATCAGAAATGTGAGAGCCAAAGAGGAACGAGTCATGGGTGTGGAGGGGAGACAGGCATCTGTTCAGTGTTTATAGATTTGTACATTGAAAAATAAAAATAGCAATAACAAATAACAACAATAATTTTGAATCATTGAAAAAATGTATCCACACTAAGCAGGCGCATGTCTCCGCTCTGTAAATAATAATAAATAACAATACTTGCGATGAATATTATTTTTACTTATTTATTCATGAATTAGTCATTGTTGATAATATTTTTATTTTAGAGAGAGAGAAGACGCGCAGCTGTGTAGCGCTGATGAACTGATCCCCACTGAACAGATGCCTGTCTCCTCTCTCTCTAAAATAATATTAATTATCATCATACAAATTATAATGATGATTATTATTAGTATTATGATGGATGATGAATATTATTATTACTAATCTTTTAGAGAAAGTAGATATGCATCTGTTCAGTGGGGGTCATTTCATCAGCACTTCAAAGCTGCATGTCTCCTCTAATAATAATAATAATAATTATTATTATTATTTTTAGCGTTTAGAGTTAGGATCACACTATACAGTAGGGCCTTGAAAGGGCAGTGTGTCCTCCAGGTATTTTGCAAAAGATGTGCAAATGAAATCTCTGTTTTGAACTCTAATACAATAAACAAAGACAGTGTAGTTTGTTTTTTTGCAGGCTGGTTTGTGTGCTGGGAATGTTTGCATTTGTATTGTCTGAAGCCTTTCCATGTGGGGTCCCCCCTGGAAAAGCACCCTCCCCATGTCGAGGGCCTGGTATGGTGCAGGGGGGTGCTTGCTCGCGCCCCCCCTTTCCTGTCCTGCCAGACCACTACTCGGATTAAGAGTCTGGTATGGCTTTTGGGGGGAACCCCCGTGCTTTTTTTTTTACATTGGGGGTCCCTTCCTAATATTCCTATCAGACCTAAAGGGTCTGGTATTAATTGAGGAGGAGGCAAAAGTTCATTCGGAATGAAATTCAGATTTCAATTCGGAACAAAACTAATTGCACATGTCTAGTAAAGGGTCTCCTAACAATAGAGGGGACAGTGAAGGTGGTAAAAGCTGTACCAGCAGCAGCATGGACAGTAAGGCTGCCGCAGAGGACAGTGAACTAACATCAGACAGTGGAGGTGGTGGAGACTGTACCAGCAGTTGTGAGTGGAGACAGTAGATGTGGTGGAGGCTATAACAGAAGTAGTGGAGACAGCAGAAGTGGTGGAGACAGTAGACGTGGTGGAGAGTATAAGTAGTGGAGACAGTAGAAGTAGTGGAGACAGTAGAAGTAGTGGAGACTATACCAGAAGTAGTGGAGACAGTAGAAGTGGTGGAGACTATACCAGAAATAGTGGGACAGTAGAAGTGGTGGAGACTATACCAGAAGTAGTGGAAACAGTAGAAGTGGTGGAGACTATACCAGAAGTAGTGGAAACAGTAGAAGTGGTGGAGACTATACCAGAAATAGTGGAGACAGTAGAAGTGGTGGAGACTATACCAGCAGTAGAGGAGACAGTAGAAGTAGTGGAGACTATACCAGAAGTAGAGGAGACAGCAGAAGTGGTGGAGACTATACCAGAAGTAGTGGAGACAGTAGAAGTGGTGGCGACTATACCAGAAGTAATGGAGACAGTAGAAGTGGTGGAGACTATACCAGAAGTAGTGGAGACAGTAGAAGTGGTGGAGACTGTACCAGAAGTAGTGGAGACAGTAGAAGTGGTGGAGACTATACCAGAAGTAGTGGAGACAGTAGAAGTGGTGGAGACTATACCAGAAATAGTGGGACAGTAGAAGTGGTGGAGAGTGTACCAGAAGTAGTGGAGACAGTAGAAGTGGTGGAGACTATACCAGAAGTAGTGAAGACAGTAGAAGTAGTGGAGACTATAACAGAAGTAGTGGAGACAGTAGAAGTGGTGGAGACTATACCAGAAATAGTGGAGACAGTAGAAGTGGTGGAGACTATACCAGAAGTAGTGAAGACAGTAGAAGTAGTGGAGACTATACCAGAAGTAGTGGAGACAGAAGATGTGGTGGAGACTATACAAGAAGTAGTGGAGACAGAAGATGTGGTGGAGACTATACCAGCAGTAGAGGAGACAGCAGAAGTGGTGGAGACTATACCAGAAGAAGTGGAAACAGTAGGAATGGAGGAGACTATACCAGAAGTAGTGGAAACAGTAGAAGTGGTGGAGACTATACCAGAAGTAATGGAGACAGTAGAAGTGGCGGAGACTATACCAGATGTAATGGAAACAGTAGAAGTGGCAGAGATTATACCAGATGTAGTGGAGACAGTAGAAGTGGTGACTATACCAGAAGTAGTGGAGACAGTAGAAGTGGAGGAGACAGTTTTGCCTAAGTAACCACACTAAATAAACCTGCTTGGTTGTCTGTCTGCAACTTTCTTCTCTACTTTGAAGCAGACCTCTAAGCTCACCTGACCTTGTGAAGTGGCCTTAGCTCCATAGCACCGGCATCTCCAGGTGCCTAATTGCATCCTTGGAAAATCTTCAAACCTTTGTCAGTCTTTACTGCTCTCTATGGACCCATTGAGGAGATTCTCCCTTACTTCTTTTCCCGGTGACAATGTAGCACCAGGAATGAAAAGAGGCACATAGACAGCAAAAACAAAAACGACTTAATGGACTTAATGGTAGAGTTGATGAATGGTCAGAAGTAGAGGAGGAGCGGAGATATGACCATAGCGCTAAGGTCTATTAGACCTGCAGCACTTACTGTACATCCAAGTGGGCATGGCAAACCATCAGGAGCTGTACTTCCCTTTATATGGAGAATA